AAGCTTGAATGTGGATTTTTTTTTTTTTTTTTTTTTTTACTCTCTCTTATTATTATTCGTCTTCTTTGGTTGACTCTTTTTTCTTTTCCCTTTTGAAGATTTTTTTTTTTTTTTTTGTTCTTGTCATCGCTCGTGTCGTATTTTCTCGTTGCAGGATTTGATGTGTGTATAGTAGGATTTTTTTTTCTCTCTCTCTATTCCATTGTTTTGTTTTATTTCTTTTTTCGTTTTTTGTGCTCTTTGTCGTTTTCTTTTTCATTTTCTCCCTTGTCTTATTTCTTATTATTTTTCTTTTCTTTTTTCTTTTTCTTCGTTTTATCTTTTTTTTTTATTAGTCAACAACAAACAACAAACCAAAACTGTACTAACGAAGGACCATTTTTTCCCCCCGACAGAACGGTTGTCTCTACGTCTACGGCGGCCTGACCACCATCGGTTCGCGAGAGAGGTCTTCGTCGTTATTTAGAGCCAGGCTAGACGCCCCTCCTCTCCTCGAGGCTGCTTGGGAGTCCTTCGCCAGCCACTGCCCCACGATCAGCACGCCCTTGCCCTCCTCCGTCACGCCCTCGAGTACGACGCCCACAGCCCACGATTTTCTGGCCGCGGGCGTGCCTCGGAGACTCATGCAAAGGCTGGCCAAACTGCACCTGAAGCAGACGGAGAAGAGAGTCGCCGCTTTTTCGACCTAAGAGCTCCTGTTTGCGTCGTGTTTGCATTTTAGAGTCTCTTGTCCGCGAGGCGAGCGGAGAGGGGCGGAGAATAGGATACCTCAGATGAGAAAAAGAGAAAGATGGGAGAGAGAGAGAGAGAGAGAGAGAGAGAGAGAGAGAGAGAGAGAGAGAGAGAGAGAGAGAAGCAGTCAGTCAACCGCGAGAGATATTCACGGAGAGATAATTTGGCGATGCTCTCTCAATCTCTCTCCTCCTCCTCCTCCTCCTCCTCCTCCTCCTCCCCCCCATCCCCCTTCGCAACATACCCCCGAAGCTGAAACGTCTCGCAAAAGCCTCCCCCCACCCCCCAACCCCCCAGCTTCGAAACAGACTACCTCACTCCCCTCCTGCCGACGTCCTCCAAAGGATTTCACCTCCAGCGCCGAGTAGCTACTACAGAAAGCTGTGCAGCTGTGTAGGTGAAGGTGACAGCGCCCTGGTCAGGTTCTCCCACACCATGAGCGTGCTGGGCCACGTGACTCCGCTGAGGACGTTTCTCTCGACGGCTGAATCCCGTTGGAACTTCTGTTTATTCTAAAGACACGTTCTGCTTTGGAATGTAATATCTGTTTCTCTGTTTGTGCTAAAACAAAAGAGAGAGATATTACGGTAGAATGTGTTTTGTTTCTTTGTTTTACAGATGTTATATGTTAGAAAGTTATATTCCTGTCTTTGTTCCAGAGATATGGATTTATGTAAGAAAGTGATATATTTTTTTCTGTTTCTTCCAGAGATGTGTTCTCTGTTAGAATGTGATATTTGATTATTTGTCTGTTCTGAAGAGATGTTCTATGTTAGAAAGTAATAGTCGTGTTTTTGTTTCTTCCAAAGATATATTCTATAGTAGAATGTGATATTCGTCTCTTTGGAAATGCGTTGATATAGTATATATTTTATATTGTTATTTGTAAATTATTAAATATTTTAGATGTTCGTGTGTGTGTTGTTCTGATAACCCAAAAACAAGTGGTTAATTCTGAATGTCATTAGAATTACTAATGATGAATACCAGAAAATTCGAAAAAGGTGGTATTGCTTCATTTACAAAATTCAGTTTGATTAACAAAAATATTTAATAATGAGCCATTATTTTCGACTTCATAATTATTATTATGAAGTGCAATGATTTTTTATTGCATAAGTGTTATCAGTATTATAAACTTATTTCATATCTACACAGAAGTTATTTCAGAGAAGTGAAAATGGCAATATTAAATCTATTCTGGTCGAAAATGAGGATAATATCGTCTTATTTTTTTTCATCTTCTACACATATAAACCAAACATGAACACAAAACCAAACATGGTAAATTATTGGTGATAAATAACGGTTTGTGTAAACTAGATATATGTCTCATTATAAATTAATTAGCAAAACTCTTAAGAATCGACCACATGCAGAGGGGGAGGTAAAATGCTCAGGAGAACAGCCATTGGCCAGGCAATTCCGCTATCCACCCAACCGCATCATCATATTAGAATTGTTATAAATCACTTACAAAACCATACATTACTAACATACTTAATATAATCATAGCAACAGCAGAAAAGCCTAAAACAATTACCTGTGATCTGCTAGCTTTCGTAAACGATGACCGAGTTAGGTGGCTGTTCCACTGAGGAGGTTACCTGCCAAATGCATATTAATTTTTATCCCCTACGTGAAGATATGGAATTTATTTAAGTCATTCAAAGTGGTTTAGCGGCTGTTGAATTTTAAGGTTAATCTTCTTTATTTTTAGCTTATAGTTTGCAAAACAATTAGCCTTCATTTGTTCTACATCCTCAAG